AGTCACGCCACAACAGCGGATCTCTGATCTCTAAAACAAGATTCAAGACCTGCTAGGGGTGCTTTGCACATGGTATGCTACATGGCCACGCTGATTGCTTGACCCATGCCGACTGCCAGCGTTCCGCCTCACAGATTTCTTTGAGCCAAGTCGCTGCACCGCGACCGGAACCACGGCCATACCTGCAGCATTTGAGTTGGGGCCAGCGCTACTGCAACCCATGAGATGGTCCAAATCAAAGTGCTATGTTGACCACGACTACTGATTTTTGCGGCCATTCTTTCAGCAACGCTCCATGATGCTGTTGCAGACGTTGGCTTAGCCCTCTCCACAGGTCGTGCTACTCGAAGCTCTTCTAAACTCTATTTGGGGCCTGAGGGGGCCTAAAGCCTTCGGACGCTCCTGTGCACTTCTATTAATGAATTGCCTGTGTCACCTGTGTGAGTAAAAAGAATGCAAGATTTCACCCCCAAAACTGTCCCAGAAGGTGACCGGCGCGTCTTGAGTAATCGACCGCTTTTTGAGGGAGTCGGGGAGCGAATAGCGCTACCATCAAAAGGATATATGAGCAGATATATATATATATAGATATATATGTAAGGAGTATTTACAGACAATCAGAAGAAACAACCCTGGATCCGGCTCAAGCACATGACAGAAGTTGCAGAGCTGTGGGCCTACCAGAGGGGAGGGGTATAGCAGTATACCGCATATCTCCATGTCTTTCTTTGGAGGGTCCCCTCCTCTTCCCCTACAACTCCATTGTTTGGCCATCCGCTCTCCCATGTGTGCACAAGCATTGAGGCCCCTAAGAAAAAAGGTCCCCCTTTTTCGCGGTACGGATAAACAGGTTTAAATACAGGAGGCCGCTACTTGTGGCAATGCCCGAATCGCTCCCTCAGCCCGAAGCCGGGCTTCCAAGCAATTTTGGGGTGCTTGGAAAGTCTGATCTAGGTGATTCTATTCCCAGGCACACAGAAGGGCCGATGGAAGGAAATCCTCCGAGGTCCTCGAATATATAATATAAATATCCTCCATACTACGAAGCTGCAACATGGTAGTTTCTAGTCAGCGGAGCAGGCTCTTGAAACTTTGCTATGTGACAGGAAGCTAAACATTCAACTCTCCCTTTTGGAGAAACTTCCAATGGTAGTTTCCCAGAATAGGGCGACCCCAATGTAGACCTCAAAATACTATAATCCTCATTATGGGGACCGCCAAAAAGCAGATCTAATTTTGGCAAACCCCACATCTTTCGGCACAGAGCATCCTTTCCCCGACGAGCCTGGCTCTGTGCTTGGCCCTCTGCTGGCCGACCCTGGAAAGTACACCCGTACTTTGGGTTTAGGGTTTGCGGTGTTGGGATTGAGTAACTTTCTGCTTCGGTGGGGGCAGAGACCTAGCACATAGATAGATTCTCTGCTCATTAAGGAGCCCATCATTCCATAGAGTAGAGAGAGAAAGTAATGGAATTGATTGGAAGGACTGTCACTCAATAGTAGCTGGGGACTATACAGGGATCTTTCCCTGTTTCCCTTTTAGCAGCAGGGAGAAAAGCGGCAGGTGCAGAGATCTTCCCAAAACCCTTCACCATCTTCATCCTGTGACCTTGGAAATGCTTTATTATGACAACGCAAAATGATGAATAATGAGAGTTCCAAAGTCGGAGGAGTAGTCGCACCGGCATCGTATTGAAGAAGCAAGTCTGCACAGGGCTCACTGAAAGCCGAGTCAGAGCCCTCCACTAGACCCTAGATCCTCGCCCCGTGAGAAGGCGCACTTGCTGCAAGACATCAAGAACCGTTCTGGAGCCGCTGCCTGTGTCGGAATTCATAGTCTGTCATGAACTCATCGATGCCTTCTTCCTCCACCTTCTCATCTCCGGCACCCTGCAACTACAACAGTATGCTGGACGTGTTGCACCCAACACTGAACCAAACGATCATCCGCACTCCAGAATGAGAGTCGCAGAGCTCTGCCTTTTTTCGCGCGCGTCTTCTAAAACAATGCAGGATGGAAGGCGCTTCTCTGCTCGGCCAAGGGTTCTGTCACCACGCAAACCCTCCCCTATGCCGTTCCAGATGCAGGCCCCTTCCGCTCCGCTCCTGCAAACATTGTTGCTTATTCAAACAGATCTGGTCCGTATACGGCATCATGCTGCTAGGTGGCCACTTCCGGCCGTAGAGTTCCGTATCGGGCACAAGCACTTTGGCTTTTCGTGCAATGTGTAAGCATCTCAGAAAAAGCCCGGGTCTACCAGCCCTTATTGAGCCAATGATGGGCAGGACCACATCATTACATTCTGTTGCCTCAGCATGGGCAACTCGTATTATAGCCATCCAACAAGGAGAATGAGCTGGAATCCCTGCAAGAAGGATTCCCCAGAAGGAATAAGGTTGGAGACGCTGACATGAGGTAGGTCAATATGGTCAACGCTCAATGGACACCCCATCTAGACTGCCAGCGGCGTTTTCAACGTTCCTAGATCGAAGCTCACTCGCCGACAAACGGAACACAGCTCTCTCTCCTGTAGCAGGGGCTGCTCGTGGCTTCACGCCAATAGACCCGAACGACCAAGCATATCGTGCAGAAGATGCCGTAACATAGACGTTATCTTACCTTGCGGGTATCTCTTGACAGTCCTCACAATCCGCACCCATCATTTGGGTTCTGGGCCTCTTTCGAGAGATTTCTTATGCCCTGCAGACACTTAGCGAAGCTGCTTTGCATGATGTGAGCACCTTCCCGCAGATCATGAAAACAGATCTATGATGTATGGCGGGGGGTGCTGAACACTGGGGATGAAAATCATCCTGACTTCCAGGTTTTTTTGAGTTTCAGTTTCTTTCGGTTTCGTATACTACTCTGAGAGTCTGAGTACATATCATTTTCATTGCTGGTGACAGAGCCATCAGTACTTCAACACTTGGCTTCTTAGGTCTTAGGAGATGGGGTCATGCAGTCTCTTTTGCGAAAGGCTATTGCATCTTCTAGAGCATTGAAGAACTGGGTGCCTTCAATAGCTCACGGATCTCACCGCAGCCGCACGTGAGCACCAGCCCTCGCCCAAACTGTCATCAAAGTACATCGAAACATCGATCAGTCAAAGCACTCTGCAAGTCTTGGGCGTAAACCGGATCTCTAAATCACCCCAGTAGATTAAAGCCTGGGCGTTTGAGAAAGGTTGCATGTGGTGGGGCGTAAGAGCTTGTGCAAATTCTGTCTTCTTCTTAGGTATCCTGCAAACTCAACGGCACAAACATACGACTCCACGGGAAACAATAGATTTGACAGCTATGCTCGACGCAGGAGGCTGAGCGGATGTCCATGGAGTGGACCAAACTTGTTGCTAGAGAAAGACTGTACCTAGAGCAAACAAGTCGCCTTCAAAGAGGTTTCGTAACTAATCCTTGATTTCTGGACATAGCTGTTTGTTCTTATCAGTATAAGACTAAGGTTAAGGCTTTCGTACCGTTGGCTACAGTATGGGGCTCGAATGCTCAGAGGCGGCTTTTCAGAGGCAGCGAGCTTGGAAACAACACGTCGCTGGCTAAGGCGTCGCTTGGGAGAGGAGGCACCTCCTCATCCTCCAGGTACAGCCTGGTGTTGGGGGGGTTCCCTAAATTAGGGGTACCTTGAAAGGGGGTTATAGGGGATATATAGGGCTTATATGGGATTATATAGGGATATATAGGGCTTCGGGTTTAGGGGTTTCTCTAAAGCAGGGGTGGTTTTTTGGGTGTCCATATAATAAGGAGTATAGTATATTGTTGTGGTCTGAGGGTCCCTCTATTTTGGGGAACTACCTGTTCTTGGGCAAAAGCAGGACCATTTGGGGCGTATTAGCTAGAGGGGTTAGGATAACCCACTCTCAGATCATCCTTGACAGAGCTCCCCCTAGGCAAGCCTAATAATCAGAATCCTAGAACAAGGGAAGTTAGGGGCGAATCTCCTCCTTTGGATTTTTAAAGCCTGCTGCTCTACCATAAAGCGTTAGATGAAACGTGCATCCTCAACTTGTTCCGACTGAGAATTGCAGGGCAGTGTATGCTCCGCTGCCTATGCTAGGCTGCTAGGCTCATGTGGTACTGACAGCTTTCGGCATAAGAACTGTATATGACCTCCGCGCACGGACCCGTAGATCAACACCCCTACACTTGTCACTTTCTCGGGGAAGAATGATCACAAAACCTCTCTTGAACAAGTCTGCCACTCCACAGGGTATGCCTTCGTAGTAGAACTTCCGCAGCAGCAAGGGGGCTCTTGGAGAGATATCGCATCCATGAATTCACCAGAAACACGGTCACAATCCGTACTTAGATTTTCGATACGCACATCAGTATCCTCATTCAGAGCCGCCCCCCCTCATTCACATCTGCCCCGGCATCCTACTGGGCAAGTCCAGCACCCGACCTCAAAGTCTCCTGAAATCTAAACCAACGATCCTAGACTAAACTGGAGGCCTGTCGACATGGGGTGCTGTTTGGTAGCTGCTTGTCCTCATAACCGGGGACCAGCGCTTTATGCTTCTCGAAGATCCGCTGGAGCTCTTGCACAAACCTTGGAGCCCACTGCTCAGGGGCGAGAGCTTGCTTAAGATGTAGGCATTTGTTCAGGACATTTAGTTTCCTGGATCTTCCATCTGAAGCCTTACATGTTTGACGTGGCAAGAAACCTGCTTGCAACACGGCAGCTCCTTTTCACACTCTAAATACGTACATAATAGCATTTGCCAGAGAAAAAATGATGCTCTCTGCTAATGTGACTACTCCTAGTACGAGTACTGTTAGTGATCTTGTTCATGTCACGTGGAGACGTGCGGAGTGCGCAAGGCCGAGCCACCGAGCAGCAACTGAGCATCACCTACCGCCAGCGCCTTTGAAACCACCAACCAGTATCATGTTTTTACAGGGTTTACTGAAAACTCTCCACAAGCCAAAGGCGAAACTTCACGTTTACATGTTAACTTGACCTGTGAAGGTGCTCTTCAGACAAGGCACTGCGCATGCAGCTCGTCAACCCTCTCGTTGGACGGGTTTGGCTCAGGCGTGTCGATCCGGATGGGCTTCCCCACCAAAGCGGCCACCGGCTTTGAGTAGGGGATGAGCGGCCTAAACTCATAGATCACGGGGTCTACTTTTGCTCTTGCCACTTGGTAAGGTTTGGATTGGATCACAATGATTCCTGTATCATCTCCATAGTAGCCCTCAGACACAAGGCCCTAATGCCCAATTTCTTCATTCTGTGCAGAAAGATGCAAGTTTAGGGCTGTGGGGTTGAAGAAGTCCCTACAGGTGTTGTCCAAAGATATATGTAAAGGAAAAGCGGTATGCAGACATGCGGCCGGGTACCTACTGTAGCTAGATGTACGCATCTACAGGCTTTTGGATATATGCCCAGTGGTTCTACACCCATGTAAGTTAGTTGCATCACAAAATGCAGGATCAGAAGAGGTATCTATATACATAGTATTACACCGTCACTAGCCCAAGTTTAGCCGAAAACTGCAACTTCGCATCATGCTTGCGTTAGCAAATGCAGTATGTACTGCACGGAGATCGTTCAAAATCAGTTACGCCAGCTGATGTTAACCTGAGATTGTGCTAGCATTCGTGCTACCCTTTTCTGACACACCTTGCGACTGTTCCTTGGTATGTCTTGAGCCCTTGTGGGTTGATTAATGTGGAGGCCTACTTCAGGAAGCCCTATCAAGTTTGGGGGGTTGTCCAAACTTGCTGCCACCGCACCGTGACGATTGCCGCTGCTCGGTGGATTTTCTCACAGAATATGACAAAGACCAAATTGCATACCAAAATCAAGCCGGAATTCGGGAACAAAGGCTCCAAAAAGATACCCGTCCTTTTGGAAACTCCCAATTCTCGGGCAAGGCGCATTCCCAATCGTCCGTAGCTGAGTGGAAGCGACACCCTGGCAGTCGCACATGGGCAGCTTCTTCCCAGGGCTTACGGTAGAGTAGAGGGCTTCAAACTGAGGCCTAGAAAAACCCCAAGGCGGTCACAGACCTCGATTGGCCTCAACAGCGATGAAGCAGCGGGCTGCTCTGAACCCATAGTGCTATGCCACGGAGTATCCCAAAATGAAGAACGACAAGGAGGCCACATTGTGCTTCCTCATCCTGATCCAGCGTATCACATGAGCACTTCTAGCTTCAACTGCAGGACGACGTGGAATTTCGCTCCACATAGAAATATCAGGAGTTATTATCATGTACGAATATGCGATGGCCAAAGTCTGCAGTAACGGCAGAAAGTAATGCTGATCCAGATTAAACTACTCCCTCCAATGCTATCCACTCCCCTGACCCCCTTATTTGCAATATGCTCTCCGAATCTCTCCCAATTCAGCTTCAAGTAGCCATCACACATCCCCAAAGCAAAGTAAAAGACTTGTCACAGCTTAGTCAAGTATGAAGAAACTGAGCTAACAAACATGATGGGCGCATTAATTATGTCATGGCAAAAATGCTTGAGCCTGCCTGCCACGGAACCTGCCTGGAACAAAAAGGTGTCCAGCCACTCTGTTTGAGTCAAGGAGCTTCAGGCGTCTGCTCATTCGCATCATAAACCCACCGAGTCCAGAAGACTTGTCCTTTTATCAGATCAGGGAATTGCAAACTTCATGGGCGAAGCATAGTGTATCATCACAAGCCGTACCCTGCCTGAATGTTCACAGATGTACTACAGCCTAAGTTGCATAGCGACTCATACCATATATGCGGGTTGTGGAACAGCTGTAGTCGCTGTTACTTGTACTGAATCCTGCTTAAGGATTTCCTTTCACGACACGCGAAATGGTAGTTTCCCTAAATAGGGAGACCCAAATATAGACCCCAGCATACTATTAGTCCTTATTATGATATATTAGAAGGACCCCTAAAAAAGTACCCCTAATTTTGGGAAACTCTCAATAGGTGGATCTCGGACCGGGATAAGGCCACATCGATGCAGATTCCAGGTGGCAGAATACAAGACAAGTAAATGAGGACACCAACACTCCTGATTTCAACCTAGCTTGCCTTACTTGTGATTAGTAGGGAATAGGGGCATATAATCCCTACATAACCTCTATATAATGTATGCCCCTACAGTATTCCCTACTAACCTCTTGGCATGTTTGCAAACCCGGTCTGGCTTGCACACTCCTGAAGCCAATCACAGCTTACTTAGCAAATCCAGGAACAGCCAGAAACCTCCAGACTGTCCCAACCAGAGAGTCATCAGATTAACCAGGGATTGAGGTGGTCGCTACATATCCTGTTGCCTCATGCCCTCCTTAAAAACAAATGGTCCCAGACAATTTTGCACGCTTGTAGATCACTGTTGCTATGACACCTGAGAGACTGCAGCTTAGACCACACACCTGCGAGCCGGAAAACAAAGTAATATGGGTAACACGCCTAGCGTCATATACCCCTATCATGGCTCTGTTTCACACCCACAGAGGCACCCATGAATCACCAGGCGTCCAGCATTGTAAACAGCTGCGTGTGCCCCAAGCCATAGACGGGAACAACATCCACCCCGGCCTCCGATGAATCAGCAGGGCTTAGGCTCGCAGTTTAGGTCCCTTGTGTAGGGAATGTAGAAGGTGTCAAGGCATCATGGTGGCAGTGGCAGGCATGAGATGACCTTCAAGACCTACAACCTATGCTTTAAAAATGCGACTCCCTTCCTGCATGTACATATGAGAGGCTGACTGAGAAGTGTCATAATGGACCATGGCGTGTTACGGACCTTGGGGCTGTAGAACTTTCTGAGACCTCCAATGGGGTCTGAGGGTTCGTATCCTGATCTGTATTCTGGTGATTCGCAACGATAGTCTTACACCTGGCTCTTTATTGCTAGGCTTGACATGGTCATTGCCAAATCTGCCTGCGGTCCCTCAGCCTACAATCAAGAAAAAAAAGCCCTACATCAACCTAGTGTGTTCAAATTCTGTTCCATGTGGCACTCCATTGTCCTAAAGCCCAAACCAGAATGGCAGTCAATTGCGCCGGCCTGCAGGGCAAGCCTGATGAAACCCTTGCGGCTTTTGATAAACACCTGCCGAGCATTAGAAGTGATAGCAGTCACTAGCACGCACTCAAAATGAGGTAATGGAAGTCTAGCATCTGCAGACATGTCAAATGCGTTGTTTTACGGAGGCTTGCCTGGCAATTATTAGGGGCTCATCCCCTTAGCCATGCATATCCCTCAAGCAATCGTGCAAAGTCCTTGCAAGGGGACTCTGACTGTTGCACAAGCAGACGAGGTGCAAAAGCCCTTGAGCTCGCTCCTAAAATCCAACCTGAACCCTCAACCCATCATGCTGAAATCAGCATTATCCGCTTACAGTCCGCATATCAGACTATAGGGTATATGGGATATAGGTTGAATATTTCGAACAACTGAATCGCGGAGTCGCTTTGCGGAGTTTCACAAACAACGAACAAAAGTCTCGCAATCTCTAGACCTGCGGAAGGAAATGTGGGTTTGGATTCTGGAAGCTCCAGCGTTGAGACCGACACATATCTTACAATAAGACACCGATTCCAAAGATGGGTCTGTTTTTGGATCTTTTCAAACGAAGGGCTCTATCCTTCTGAGGGCATGCAAAGGACCAGATTTGAGGGATATCAGCATACAATTAGTCTGATTTAAGCCCTAGAGTTGGAGAAAGATGCATATTTGACGAGGCCCGGAGGCCTGCTCCAAGTCAGGGCGCATCCTGAGTAAACTGGGTTGCTGCAACGGAACGGAATTTAAGTTACTATGTTGGGGAAATCCTATGAATTATTCCCATTGTGGTTTAACTTAAATTGAGTTCCCTGACAGCAGCCTGAGTGAAGGCTAAGGCTGCTTTCTGTACATATAGGGATTTATGGGGATATTACCCCAATAGAGGTATATAGGGTTATATAATGTAGGGATAATGTAAAAGAAAATGGATGCCACTATACTAAGTTCAGTAAAAGTTTAGGGAAATTACCCCCCAATCATGGAGAATCAAATGGAAATAACATGGAAAATCAAATGGAAGCTGGGGGTATGTAGGGGAATTACCTACCTTTGGTTAGCTGGGAATGAAGGAATGGAAAAGAAAATGGAGACTACTGTTCTGGATTATATAGCGAATACTATAAGGATCCATTCCTCAAGATATAGTGGTTTTGAGATTGGGACTTGGGGTTAACGGGCTGCATATGTTAGGTTTTTTGGGAGCTGCGGCAGGTACTTCTCCAAATTGCCAACACAATTAAGATGTGTAGCTCTGGCTTTATAACCCTCACATGCTCCTCTTCCTCCTCCTCCTTGCTCCTGCTTCAGCGGCGGATGGCGTCAAGTTAGCAAGCAGGAACGCTTCATTACAACTAGCATCAATATCTACTACGCATTGCCACCCAACCCCAGAAGTGGATCTGTGGGCAGGATCAGAAGAGCGAATAAGTCATTGCAGGGTGTGCTGTACTTGACTCAGTGAGGATTCTAGGCAGTGAGGATTGCTAGGCCACATCGTAGTTAGGACCGCATTCTGCAAGGATTGAAGGACTAGGAACGTTGTTGGAAGCCAGCTAGGCTGGGTCTGTGGGGATCCGGCTCTCTGCGAGCTTGTTCCGCTGTTCAAGTTTAACGCTGTCTTCTCAGGGAGGTTCTAGCTGGTGGACGTTGGAACCCTGCGACAGGAACACTCAGTAGCATGCAAAGCTGACGGACCTTGAACGAATAATGTGGGAATTGCATGCATGGTGTGATATGGGAGTTCATCTTCCACCTACTTGAGAATTAGTATGTCGAACAGCTCAACCATATGAACATAGAATGCAGCCACCCTTCTTCTCACACTTGCTTGAGTCGAAATTGGGAAATTGGAAGTGGACTTGAATCTTTCTCAAAGCCGCTTTACACCCATGGTCCAATGTGGGCTTTAGTGGATACCTAGGCATGACAACCCATCCCTCCATCAGATTCCAACCCATCACTTCCATCCCGGAAGGTGCTAGCAGCTGGCATGTTCTGGGATTCTCAGCTGGGTATTCATCAGTTTCAAGGAAGGCGAGGGAAAGCCTGCGTTCCTCCCAGGCCCTGTCGGAACCACAGAATCATATCTGAATGATTGTGCCGGCTGTCTCTCTAAAATCCAGGCGAACTTGGAGCCTTCCCTCAGCGACCCCCGAACAGCCCGTTGCCGCAGGCCAGGCAGCAGGAATATCTCTGCAATGCCGCCCGGCACGATGAAGGTGATGTTATTTGGGTAAGGCCATGTCAACGCCTGCAAGGTGATGTACAGAGAAAACAAGCTGAAGCATCGATCACACGAAGCAACTCTGCATGAACGACTTGCTTGATCAGAGATGTAACTGAAGCTTTGTTGTTGGATCTCCCTTCACAATGACAGTTTCCTGTCAAGGTGCTGAACTGTGAAACCGAGCATACCGAGCGGCACGTTTGATGGACTGCGGTGTGGCTGGAATCAAGCCGCCGAAGCGAACTAACTGCCCTTAGCATGAGCAACGGAAGCGAAGAAGCTTTCTTTGGGGCACATGCGAGACACTAAAGTGGCCTAGGGAGTTGCAGGTAGTCACCAAGAGTGCCCCCAAGGAGGTTCTCCTGAACTCCATTTTCCTAAGCAAAAGGCATACATTTCCCCAAGTAGCCCGCCACAGCAGGCAGGATTCCTGGGAAAAGGCCTGCATGCGACCACACTTGCCATACCCGACCAATCCCAACTCATCCCCACTGTTACCGCCACAACTATTGCTACTGTCACTGGCACGAAGGCTCCAATCCAGCAGTAGTATCCTGTCTGAGTCTGCGTGAGTATTGCTACTGTGCTTTGAGCTTGCACATCATAATGATGATCGGGAGAAAGACTACGACTGTAGTCGCTTCTCCCCATCAATAATCGCCCGTCCCTCCAAATAAAACCCGCAAGGAGTGGTCATTATCTTTAAGGGGTGATCTTTAGGGTTTAGGGGTTTAGGGTTTATTTTTTAGGGTTTAGAGTTTAGAGTGGGATTATTGCAAAGACTTGAAGCGCCCCCATGCGGTTTCCAGTATGCACCTAAGACGTTACAAGCTGGCTAAAAATTAAAGAACATTGGGAATCCCGAATAGTCCTTTGCAATTATTATGCGGACCCCTCTTCCTGCTTAAAGCACCTAAGTACTATTGGATTAAAATCACTTGAAACCAAATAAGCATGTAACTTGAATCAATTTAAGTCCAAAAAATCAATGGAAACCGAGCTGAAAACTGGTTAGAATCAATATCTACTTACATTCCAATGAAAATGAATGAAATCGCAAGGAAATTAAGTTAAAACCAACTGAAATCTACTTACAATCTAATCAAAGCCAATTGGTGCAAGTCCGTGCTTTGTACAGTGCGAATACTCCGCCAGTAGTCTCGTACTAAAATTCTTCTGGGGCCCTTTGCTCCATATCCTATGCCACTCCCTCCAAGCTTAGAAACACTGCGAAGACCAGTTCCACCCAGATTCTCAGCACAGGAATTTGAAAGAGAATGTCTGCGCCGATGCTATTGGGAATGAATCCCTGCCTGTCGAGTTTAGACATTAAGGCAGAAGGTGGAATTTCCTCCGTTGTAGCTTTTCTTATCTACGTGCTAGAACTTCTACTGATTATCGTGGTGCGTGCTGTAGACCCGCCAACGAAGCGTCAATCTCTTCACGCAAAGCCTTTGCCGTTGCTTGAACATAAGCACCAGCATCATCCTGGCTAGCTATCGGAGTTCAGAGTGCTGCTGGTAGCTACAAGGAAAAGCGTGCTACAGCCAGATGTAGCACAAAACTCAGCCCGAGCCTGCGACAAAGAGGGCACATCTGATTTCATGAGAGCTCCGGCTACAATGAACCTGAAGACTGGTAGAGATTTCATTCAAACTTGGATCCTGATTGAAGCTTTTGGACCAACAGCGTTTTGCTTTCTGTACGGGCCTGCAAAGTGCTTCAACATGTAAACTGTCCTCGGAAAGGACCTGGCACCCCAATGCACCTTGGGGACTGCACAGTAGGATGGTTAAAATGGGAAAACTCAAGTTTGCTGGACATGCTTCAAGACATGCGACCCCAACTCCCCACCATATGGGGAGTTCCCAAAATCAGGGTCTGCTCGTTGCAAGGCCCCCATCCGAAGACCCAAATCCTCGAACCAGCGTATGTAAGCCAAAGTAAACGCGCATTACTGCATTACAGTCAATTTTTCTGTCGGCAATGAACATGGGACGATATGAGGGAATGCAACAAGGACTGTACGGATATACCACCTTGGATATTTCCCTGGCGAGGATTGACATGAGCAGCACTCCATGCGAGTGGCCGAGAGGCCTTTGTAGGGTGATGGACAGCAGGGTGTTGGCGAAAGGGATAACACCATGCCTTCAGCTTAAGTTGAAAGGCAGCTAAAGCGGGGGGGATTCATGATTAATGGGCCCCTCAAAGTCTTGATGCAGTATCTTGTTATGCTTAAAGATTTGTGGGATTGCAGGTGCTTGACGGATCTAGGAACTTGGGAGGAGCGGCTGGTCTAAGGATTATCCCTTTTTGCTTTTCTGCGTAGGTGGGTAAAGGTTGCTTGGCTTCAGGATTCAGGATTGAGGCTGAAGAGTTTAGATGAGGTTCCAAGAATTCGGGGTCCTGCTTTAAACGCTAGCCAAGTTCATACAAGCAGAACTCCCAGCAAGCTCAGCCTATGCCTCCTCAAGCAGCACCTTGTATCCTAAAAAGGAGCGAACCCTTCACCCTAAAAACTCCCAAGCTCCTGCATCATTCTTACTGTTATGCTACGCATGCAAGCATGATGAGGTAGTTGGTGGATGCATTTTACCAGCGAACTTGAAACCCACATATCTGGCAAAGGCAGTTTGAACAGGGTTTGTAGACAGTTCTTGACCGCCCTGGTCGAGCCAGGCAAAATGCTTGAACAAACCTGTTAAGAACTAAGTAGTTTCTATTAAACATGAAAATCAACAACACAGAATCCGTGTCTAATCATTTTTGACGAAGCAGCGAGATTTTATGAAACACCGAGAAGGCTTTAAAAAGCTGCGCGTCCAGAGGCACTTCAATGCAAAATCTGCACATTACCCAAAAATCTTGAGCCATCTTCTTTTTAAACTTCCGCTGGGGGGTCTAAGTTGGCTGACGAGCATTTGGGGAGCGATGACGTCTAAAATAGCCAGAAGATAACTGAGCTGAGGGCAAGTCTGGAAGAGTGCATCGTGCAACTCACTCCCTTCAAAAACCCAACCCTCGAAGCGACCCCCTACCTTTCTCACCATGGCCCCTCGATCAGGGGCCAGGTTCAGAAAGGTACTGGGGTCGCTCAATATTAGCTATCCGTAGCCCTAGGGGTGCTTCTTGCATTGCGCCAAGTTGCGGCATAACTGCCAGCAAGTATCTTCGATCTTTCTGCAGCGGCTCCTCTCCAAAGCCGAAGTAGGTATGGCCCTCTAATCTGGGACCCTTGGAAGAAGGTGGAACCTTTATTCTTCCAACGAACAGGGACAAACGAGTACACGCATAAGAAGGGGCATATGTTACATGTACATGTACACGTGTACTGCCCACCAATACTCTGTTCCTCAGGCCCGCTGCAGTTTGCATGCCAAAAACACTGTAGCCTTGCCAGACTGGCTCAGACCCGGCTTAAGAGCCCTAAGCTTTGATCTTACATGCTAAGCAAGCGCCGGTTAAAAAGTGTCATGTAGGTGACGCTGTGGAGCCATGAAGACTGCTGATGCGAACAAGCCTTTCCAGAACTTTGTAATCATCTTCGTTTCCTCTGTGGAATACAGACCTTCGAATAGCAGGTGAAGAAGTGGTGAAGAAGATCAGCTACATTCAAGAGATCGGCTGCGTCAAGAGGTTCTTGCTGCTCGGCAAGCCTCTGAGATGTGGGACGCAATCAACACTTGAATTCACAACCAAGACTCCAACCCCAACACCGCGCAACAAAAGACTCAGAATTTCAGACCCATTACAAGAGCGTTTTAAAGGGGTTGCCAACCCTTTCGCCACCGATGCCTCGAAGACGGCCTGTCAAACAGGTTTAGTTACTTTTGGCTTCTGGGATTTCAGAAGCTTTGGACTCTGGACTTGGGGTTGAAGGTACTCTCATGGGGGATGGGAGGTGCTGTAGCCAATTTTGAAGTACTAGTAGTAACTTACAGCCCTACAAAATCAATGGGCCCTAAGGAGGAGGATGAGGCACCTTAGTCAGCAGGTCTAGAGCAAGGACATCATTCTGCCTCGCACGTGCGTGCAAAGTTCACCAACGGATTACTAGGGCGTTACTAGAGGGTCACTGGGGGGCCACCTTCATTGAATGACTTGTCCGTCGTGTACATCGCAAAAGCAATGATTTTCGCGGAAACCTCTGACTTTCCGGAATTTCAGTACATGTGCATCTTACATAAAGCGGCGAACGACGGCACTTGCTGCTTCTAATTAGACTTTGCTTAGATCCGCCTATGTAGAAGCTGCCTTCAACAAACCTACAAACAGGAAGTCAAAGAACACGCCAATTCCAATCTGATTTCCTTAAGATTTTGTTGGGCGGATTCCGGAGTACAAACCTGATGGAAGCAAAAACTCAAGACAGAAAAGAATTCGCAAATCCGCACTAGGTTTCCTTCTGTTCTTGTACATAAGCTCCTGTACATATCCTCGTAAAATACCCCCATCAAAACACCTAGTTGGAACATAGACCCTGTGCACATCTATGGGCTCGCCCGAATTCAGCAAGATTAGGTGTGAGGCCGGTTGGCTGGTTAAAGTCACCCACATGTAAAGTCACTCGCTTGCGTTTTAAGCATCGCCCCGCAGGGAGTCTGAATTTTGGAAAGCTCTCAAGCCCGTCAAGTTCGCCTCATTCTTGTATGTAGCGTGTAAGAAAAATGCGGCAAACAGACATTTACCTGGTGCTGCCCAATAATCCAGCGCATCCCGGCATGTCCATGCAACCCTCATGGCCCTGCATGCAGATTAGAACCTCCTACAGTAGTCCGCGGGTGTTGCATTATCCCTGCTTGCATTCCCGCTCTTTCCGAGGTATCCACCTTGAAGGAGAAGTAGCGCAGCAAACCTAAGTTTCCAGTAGCGCTTGCTTGCAGGGTCCTGTTTGTAGTAGTATCAGTGGGATGATATTCTCACATGCGGGGATATATAATTGATGGGCATATAAGGCTTAGGGTTTCTGAAAGCAATGAGCTGTGACAGGTAGGAGTTATGATTATGCTAGTGACAGATTGGGAAAGACTTAGACGGCGACGAAGGGAGGAGAAACCGGTTTCCTGCTGTGGTGCCTGCTGCTTCAAGCAATGGGTTTGTATCGTTGGCCTTCTTACAGTAGGAAAGTGGATTGTGGTGGGAATACATGTAAAAAAGTGCTGCTGTGAAAGGTCATAACGCTGCTACACTTGGCATAAACCTCTTCAACTGCCGAGGTGCGATCGTAGAGCCAGCGCTCAACGCGCTCCGGGAAGGCAGACCCACCAGTCCGATACGGTCGCTCCGTGTGCATGGGCCACACCTTAAAACGGGCTGGGGCTGTAGATGAGTGGAAAGGAAACTAAAGTGACAATAACAGTGACGCCAGATAAGGGTGCCTACCTTGCCACATTGTGAAGAAGCCTTGATGTAGAAGAGCGAAGAGGGCGCAAAGGCTGCTCAAGCCACCAAACCCTTCAGGCAGGCCCGAGCAATCTAAGAAACTGTGGTTGATGGTGCCAAGTAGTTGATCCATGCTCTCGGCCATTTGGGAGAGGAAGCGAATCAAGTCTTGTGCCATCACCTAGAGGTTTTGGGACGGTGCCTAATTAGAGCGGTTTTCAGTGACTGTGTGAAATTTGAGATCTTACACAGATCCACACTTATAGGTGCCGGGAAATTGAGAGTGTATCCTCTGAGCATAGCTAAAGATCCACTTAGGGTTGCGTACCCTATAACCCCCTAACATTGCCGCCACGTAGCCCGCTTGTTGTCTTATCTCATCACATCCCATATCATCCCTATGTAACCCCTAGTTCGCTACTATAACCACAAGTTCTACCCAATTATCAGATAGCAGTTGCCATGTTCTTTTCCAGTATACTATATATTCCCAACATGTTCCCTTATTCTCTACTAACTCTAAACCCTATACCCTTAGGGTCCAAGTACTCAAATAATGGATAGTTTGACAAATTGGGCCCAAATAAGTTCCTATATAGGTACTTCGGGCCCAATACTACATACTTTTTTACGTACTTGCCCTTTATTCCCTACAAAGCCGAAACCCCAAATGGTAGTTGCGATTTCCTTTTCCATTGTCCCAATATATGCCCTATTATATAACCCCTACGTTCCCACGCATACATTCCACTTAAAACATATCCTATTACAAGACAATAGCTTCCATTTTCTTTTCCAGTATCCCTATAGAACCCCTGTATCCCCTCGGTCCTGCCCCCACCCATTAACAGTCTATAATGGGGGTCATACTAAGGGCTCTATGTAGCTATACTATAACTATTGTCCAGCTGTTAAGGTGTGGGGGCAGTATCCAACCTGAACCTTAAACCCTAAACCCTAAATAGTAGCTTCCATTTTCTTTTCCATTATCCCTATAGAGCCCCTATATAACCCTCTATAATCCTATATAAACCCCTATATAAATCCGAAAAAACCCCTATGAACTTCCCTAGTATATTCCCATTAAAGCTCTCCAGCTTGCAACTGGCGCACCGCCAGTACTCCTAGACCAGCCAAGGCTGAGCCAGCTGCCAATCGGTACCTGGGTGTATATATGAGCTATAGTCTAAACTCCTAGTATCCCCCTTAGTAACCCCTATAGTAGTCCCCTATATAATCCCCTATATGACCCCCCTTAAAGGAGTTTAGACTATGGCTCATATGGTTTAGGGTTTGGGGAACAGGGTTTAGAGATGAGGGTTTCAGGGTTTAGGGATTAGGGGTTAAGGATTAGGGTTTAGGGTAGTAGGGTTTAGGGTAGTCGGGGATAAGGGAATATATTGGGGTAATACAGGGATAATGGAAAAGAACATTCAAGCTGCCATATCGCATGTAAGGATTAGGGGTTAGGGTTAGTAGTGGCAAAATAAGGGTAATGGCACAGAAAATGGAAACTGCTAAATTATAACAGGGGATATATTGGGGTTATATTGGGGATAATGGAAAAGAAAGTGGAAACTGCTGTGTTATAATCGGGTATCTATTGGGGTTATTGTAGGGAATAAAGGTTTAAAGGCTCAATAAGTTCCCTCATACGCCAATACGGGAAATTGCTGATTCTCACAAACTGCCAACTAGGTACCTCAGATTGCACGCTTGGTTTGAGCATTGAGGGCCTCAAGATTCAGGCTTTGGGGGGTTCAGAGGTTTAGGGAATTTGGGGCTTTCAGCACGTATTCGTGTTGGATATGGCACAAAGCAGGTATGAGCGGCTGCATTCTGGTCTTCTGTACTGACAAGATTGTCAACTCACATTCCTTCAAGGTCTTGCGTTCGGCTGTTTGGGTTTCAGGTTTATTGCTCACGAGCGATCCTTACTTGAGATTTGCGCTTCCATTTGCATGAATGTTCAAATTTTCGTGTCATCCCTTTGGACTGCATGTTTGGAGGGCAAAAGCCTCGCATAACTCCAGTCCTTCGCTTTCCGCCTGCTTCTCTTCCTCCTCCTTCCTGGCCCCACCGCTACAGTCATAATGCTACTCCTAGAGTCATAGCCGGACACCGCCGCCGTTGATGTCATTCCTTCCCGACATTTCGAACGCTTGCATCACCACCTACCACTACCACCCTCAGAACTATCTTAATCATATTACGATATTTGTTGGTCTTATTGATATTGTCATAATATTCGGACTACTAGTTGTATTCGGATTAGGTAGTAATACTATTAAAGAGTCGAGCAGCCCTGGCTTCCTTGCAAGGGCATAAAGGATTGCAGGCAACCTTGGCTGAGCTGACAGGGTTTTTTTGCAGTTGAGGGTTTAGGGTTTGGTGTTAGGGTTTAGGGCACAGGCTTTCTAGCAACCTGGCACAATTATCATCGAGTTATAACGAGCTCTCACAACACATCCAGAGAAAAGCCAGAATAGAAGTTCGATCGCTGCAGCAATTCCTGTCTGGGTTTCAGGCTTCGAATTGACACTTTCGTCATGCGGAGGCAGATGCAAGATTGGACTTGAAAGAACGTGTGGCTTTGTTTTCCTTTGTATGCTCTTCTGACTCAAGTATGACTAAACTCCATCAAGAATGGCAGACCTGGAACCTTTACGTCAACAGCTCTCGAACATATTCCAGGTGCAGTGTTGGCAGGCTGGCAGTATTTATCACGCAGCTCCCTTGCGACTAGCCATCTCTCCTGAGGCCACTGAGAATAAGGCCTATGAGATTCAATCCTGCGACAGTCCCTGTGCTCACCCTCGCCATGTCCTCACAAGCGGCACCTCAGGTATGCTCAGAGATGGGGCATCTACTGGGCACACCCGTCAGACCCTTTCGTCGGCCGTCTTGCGATAGGTTCAAAAAGCGAGTGTAAACCCCAGGCCTATGAAACGCGCAAAGCCCGAAAGCGTGACTATCGAGGGAAGGGGATTCTGCTTTCCAGCCAGACCACGCTGCAGGTCCAACGAAGTAGCACGCCTTGACTGCTGATTTCATCAAGTCTGAAAACCAAGGTCTCCAAAGAAGAAGCTGCTGAATCATGATTGTCAATGCTTTCTGCTTCGCTTCCAGCTGCTCATGTTTATAAATGATTGCACTAACCCACTGTAAGATTAGATGACTATGCGACAAGTCCATAAAGCCCTGTTGCGGGAGGAAATTGTGGAACCCCTGCAGCAACTGTGAGAATGCACGGGATTCTTCTCATGGCGTCTACCATCAACAGAGGCCTACTTTGAAGCCGGTTACTCCGAGAGCAACTCTAGCATGGCCACAACAGAAAGCCTAATTCTCGTTAGCATGTTCAAGAGACAATTGGTGGACAACTAGCTTGAATCCAAATGGTGGTATGATTCGGGCTTAGAATGTAGGATTCCCTGTTGAAGTCGCTACCTCTGCAGAAGTGAAGCCTAAGGGGGCCTGGATCCCGGGCTGCTGCATTTTTACACTCCACAATACAGAGCCTGAGCGCCGGGTAAGCCCAGACTGGGCCCTCAGTGAAGCCTTTAACAGATGAGGCACCTGACCACATTTGTATCGTGTAGGGCTTAGGTTCTAAGATCATTTGCCTGCGAGGTGTAGCTCTTCTTCTTCTTCTCAAACATCTCTAATGCTGGAACCGTGGAACTGGAAAGCTCGCAACGGGTTCGGCTTCCGTTGTCGCAGCTTCAGAGCTTTACCCGAACCCGCATCAACCCTGCGCTCTCTCTCAGGCGTTGAACCTTCTCGCCCTGGTCTTGCCGGTGTTGATCTAGACTATAGACAGTATGGATATACAAGAACCGAAATATACTGCTAGGATTGCTGCGATCGGTTCAAAGTCAATAATGACTGCCACCCAACCCCCCCGGGCCTGCAGGACTGAGAAGAAGAGCAGGCTCAGGGGATTGTATGCAGTTCCTGAGCTTCCGGGGTTTTAGTAGGGAATAGGGGAATATTATATGGGGGTTGATATATAGGGATTCTATTCCCTTGACAACTACTTAGCCCTGTACGACCCCATAGAACCTACATAAGTTCAGTTTCCATTTAATTTTCCATTTGATGTTCAACGTGATTCTCCATTTCCTACTTACAACCAGCAAAATCACTGGCCAATATAGCGCAGTTACTATTTGGGTGGTTGTCAAAATTATGGTCCCCTTTGGATGCCCATTATAATACGGCACCTAATATTTAGGGTATCCGAAAAGGGACCATAGTTTTGACAACCACCCATTTATGTTTTCATGTTCTCCTCCGCTTGATTGATTCCGGCCAGCCTCCAGCCTGCATGAGATATGAACGGGAATCAGGATTTACATTGTGAAGAATCACATGTCAAGAAAATTGAAGATGACATGGAAACTGGGGTTTGTACAGGAGTTATATAACCTACCTCTGGACAGTGGGGAATGAAGATATGGAAGAGGACATGGAAGCTACCATACGTAGGGACTATTTTAGGGTTTCCTCCCCCTTTCCTACTTACAACCAGTAAGCCCCTAGACCCTAAACCCTAAACCCATTTCAGAACGCATTGTCGTAGACAGATACACACGACGGGATAATTCCCCAGCGTCATGTTCGAAAGCCAAGTGCGAAGCAGTTCCTACAGAGGTTTAGGGTTTAGGCTTCATGGGTTTAGGGTTAAATGTCCAAACAAACTCCCATACTAGAAGGCTCAAAAAGGGACACGTACAAAGTGCTCCCTGGTTCTGGAGACTCTCACATACTTCACCGGTCGAGCTATGCAATTGATACAAGCAGAAAGAACTTCACTTTCCATTTCAGCAAGAGGAAATGTGAAACAGCAAACTCTGGAGGCAAGAATTCACGGAGATGACCATGATTTTCGTGATGCTGATAGCCACCACAGTAGCAGCAAGAAGGACAACTAAGGCAGTCAGACCAACAGCAGCAAGAGCTAGCCTTAGTGACCTTATGAACCCTATAAAGCTGCTAGTATGAGAATTCTTGGTACCTGTCAGCAACAAACTTACTGCCAAGAAGACGATGGAGGCCGACAACGAAGGAAAAGCTCTGAATTTGTAGTAGTGCCAGCACCACTGATCCTAAGACAGAACAACCTTTCCGGTAGCTTCCAAGTATTGAGGCCAAGCTTCGGAAGTGCTGCCAGACGTCAGATAGGCTTGGCGTAATGTTGCCTGTGCTTACAGGGAATCGCAACCAGAAAGCCTCTGAAAGTTGTCTTTCCTTTCGTGTAGCGGAGGCTGAAAACGCTAATTCTTGAAACAGTGGCTGAGGTTGCTGAAGCTTTTGGCTCCCACAGCACAATGGTTAATACTAGGTTTCATGCCACGTGGCCCTCTGCGGGCTGATTCCTTTGAACGAGAAGTTCTATCTGACTGCCGGGAACCGATCATGCGTAGTGCCGAAGCCGAAAAAAAAAGCAAAAAACATAATGCTCAATTGCCCGGCTATATAACCTTCAAATGCAGTGACGCACGTTTATTCGGCTGCTGACCGAAACCTTTCGCCTGGAGTCGGAGTCCCGAAAGTCGCATCCCAAAGCAGCAAGGAGATCGCAAAAGCATCCCTCTTTTCAAATTCAGCAGGGGGGTGCTTGGGACCCTGGATACGACAGTGCCTTAGTTATTAAGACAGCTCCCGCCATGTCGCGCAAGCTGGGTAGGCGCTGTGCACTCGGAGAGACGAGATAGCCCTCCGGATGCATGTGCCGCGTTGGCACCTAAGACACGCACTTGAATCTGGCACCAGGATCAGACATTCCACTTCACACAACAATATACTTCCCACGATACTTGAAGAGTCAAATGCTGAAATGACAATTTGATGTGACCTCAGGTTCTAGTGAGGGATGCCTACAGGAGTAGAATGCCGGGGATGACTGAGGTGTTGGATAGGGCATGATGTACACAACAAGGCCGCGCAACATTCCTGTGAAAATCGAAAGTAACGTGCTGTGGTTGAAACACGGTAGTTTCTTTGTATGCTCGACGGTGACTGATGTATGTGTGCGGGGCGTATGAAAGGACTGCACAGGGCAAGACTCTAGAATCCAGGGCACATGGTTTAAAAGTTTAGGTTGAACAGAGGAAGCTCAAGCTGTAGAATGCTGGGGCTTCAAGAGTCGCTTATTAAGGAATATCACTGCGCGCCGTTGGGCAGTCCCCTGACAACGCACTCTGAAGACCTCCTGTTCCAGGAAAGAAAGGATTATCTTCATGCCCGGCTTGGGCACACTACTGTCCTTACTCATGAATCGAAAGCCTGCAAGCATCTCAGTGATGGAAGCGTCAAGATGTCCACTATCCAAGACCTTCTCCCGTCAAGACATTGGTTGCCACAGACTCCAAACCAGCAGATTTCATTATCGACGCCCAGGGACCCAATGCCGTGCGACAATGCTCAACCATGTGTAGCTCATGGCCAAACGAAGCAGCATTGCCAGCTTCGCGGGCAAGAAAGCCTGAGGTGTGAGGAATCATCTGAAGTTGTTTGAATGCTTCTGTGGGATTCTCCTAAGGGCACTCTGGAAGTGTAGAGGGAAGTCTATCGTAATGTCGAAAGGCATCGATCTCATGCCTGGACAAAGGTTACCTTCATCAATTCAGGCCGAATCCCTTGAGTTGTCCGATCATGGGCGGTAATATGGCCTTCTTATGGATATTCCCAACCACCCAAACCTAAACCCGAAACGATGAACCCTGCATCCAGGGCTGCCAAGGCACTGGTTGGTGTAGCTCTGGGAAACGCCGCGGCCGCGCAATCACCTGGTTTGACTTGTACAGGGGGTATCTGACTACAAAACGAGATGGTACTTATCACGAAGACTTGAGATTTGGCCCTTCCCCAAGGTCAGATCAAATAATCTCAAGCCTAGTAAATTACAAGAAATTGCAGACTTCTAATTCAAGTGGTGGCGCTCCTTTTTTGAAAGCCCTGCCCTTGTGGACAAACTGCCGAACTCTGTAAAGCCTACGCGAAATTCTTGTTTTTTGGCACCCTGGGCGCTGATGCCTGCCCCAAATGTCAGGTTGCTTTGGCAATCACTTACTGCTTGCTAGGAAGGACATTGTAAGCGAAAGATGCTATATTACGTGTATGAAGAACCTATGCCCTCTTATCACACTGCAGGTTGTGTGCAGCCACAACCAGGGCTGCAATACAACCAGGGCTGCAATCTTTGAGACGTCTCAAGCGCCCAAGCCCCGGACAAACCGCTTTTCACAGGCAAGGTTCCGTCCCAAGGAAGATAGGCAGTAGCAATCCTTTTACCAGAATGAAGCTCGTTGTGAAGGCACCCAGGCCTGGATTGGTGGGAGCAGTCTGGGGCCGGCCAGACACAGGTTTCTACCCTTGTCTCCTAAAGTTCACTCTAGACGGAACCCCCTAAACTCTTTCGCAAGGGGTCCTCTTGTTTAGAGCTGTATGGTTCTATCACGTACATTATGTGATCTGCCCGGGCTTGCGTTCTTCTCACAGCTAACTAGCGCTTTACTGCACATTTCCAATGCCCAATCCCAGCAATGCATGTGGTAGCGATAGAAACAGCACAGAACAGTAGTAGGAATGGTGATAAAAGACGTGCCTTGGAAGCAATGATGAGAACTTAGATGGAAACCAATCAATATCACGACCCCTTGCTTCATAAATGTAGCCATGTACTTGCCCCAAACTTAGTCAATGCACACAATGCGCCAACAATCATCTTATTGTCATGCCTTCAAGACATGCAGGAAACTCCATTTCCTCACCCAGAACATGGATCGTTGTAAGGCCACTAGGATTCTGTACTTTGAGAACAATTGGTTTTATTGAGCTCTTTGTAGATTGTTCAAGCAATGGTAGGTAGTTGGATGCTGCGAGAATACTTTGCAGGTTTGTCACCGAATGCAAATCTGACGGGATGCTAGAAATCAGAAATGTACATAGAATAGAAGCTGATGGGTCTCTCAAGGAGCCACTGGGAGGTATCCGATTCAAGTGTGCGTGTACCATGTGTATATATATATATATCATTACAGATGAATATATATATATACATATATATATATATGTATATCATAGGCACATACGTATGATGCACCCCAGAAATACCATCCGAGAATATATTGATTACATTGGACTTCCGAAAAGGAGCCTATATTGGGATATCTATTCTGGCCTTTGTAGGCAGTATAATGTTAATGTTAGGGGGCGACAGTCCCTACATTATATCACCCCTATACACTCCCAGTCCCCCTTTGTTGTTCATGCGCAGTTACTTGCTATTCCCAGGGTTCACGCTCTTGCTGAAAAATCGTACTTGGAGGGTCAGGGACTGAGTAAGTATACTTATAACTCCTATATAAGCCATATAGTAACCCGAGTAATCCGTATTAGAATCCCACTTACAAAGTCCCCCCCGACCCTCCCCTAAACCCTGACCCCTAAACCCGAAACCCTGACCTCTAAACCCTGACCCCTAAACCCTAAACCCCCGAAACCCTAACCCCTACTCAAGGGTATTGACGGCACGAGAAACAAAATCTCCAAGCCAGACTGGATGGCGGGAGGCCCACCTTCAGAGCGGGTCGACTACTCATAAGGGGGGGCAGAGTTATATAGGGACTATATGTGCTACAGTCCAAACTCCTTAAAGGGGATTATATGGGGGACTACTATAGGGCTTATTAAGGGGGATACTAGGAGTTTAGACTATAGCTCATATAAAGGTAGTGGAGAAGAAAATGGAAACTACAATCCATGGTTTAGAGTTAAGGGTTTAGGGTAAGCCTATATGGATCCAAATAGCCCAATGTAGGTACTATAGGGTTTAGGGTTTAGGGGCGACTGTTCCAGATTTAGGGTTTAGGCTAAGCCTAGGCATCCAAATAGCCCAATGTAGGCAATATTTACAGACTTTAGGGCCGAATGTAGGTATCAT